AAAAATGGTGCGTCACTCGTTTCCCGTCGATCAAGCTCTCAGTTACACGAGAAGGCCTTTTTTTCTAATGTGCGTTTCGTTTAGCACCCAAACTAAAAGCCGCCAAGGTCTAGGGAAGAGGCCGGGGTGTGTGGTGAGTTGGGAGGGGCACCTTATTTTAGGCCAAACGGAAGCCCGCAGAGCCGGCCGACAAAAGCTATTTTTGTTGTCAGGTCATTGCCCCTCCTCATATCTTTCAGTCTGGATAAGTCATGGTCCCCACTTACTTGAAGATTTGAATCCGCCAATGGAGAGCTGATCTGTCCTAGGGACCCTTCTGCCCTCATATACATGCTTTTATAACCACTTGATTGAACTGCTGTGTATTTGTTTTCTTTACTATTTTCCAAAAGGTGATACGTTTGTGGTGATATAGATAGATAAATAAAAATAAATCTGTAAGTCTGTAGCTAGTATACGCTCACCTGAACTGGAATTAATAAAATTAATAATAGCAAACTAAAAGCTTAGGCCCTGTCCACTAGTGCGTTTTTAAAAGTATGCGTCTTAATTGACATCGAAAACGCACCGGTTGATTCGCGTCCACACTATACCGTTTTGATGCGTTTTCCACTGTCTACACTAAAACGCTCGAAAACAAATTGCATGTTGTGACGTAACTCTATGCGCATGCTACAAAAACACGCGCCTGCGATATTTTTGGTCATCGTTTTCATTTTGATGCGTTTTCGACCGTCTAATGCGTTATGTATGCGTTTTCGTTTTGATCCACTTTCAAGAGCGTTTTCAAATCGATGTGTTTTTTTTAAACACCTAGTGTATTAGTGTGGACGGAAGGCCTAACTCATCGAAAGGTATGCGTTTCCAAAGAAAACGCACCAAGTGTGGATGAGGCCCTTAGGTTTTATTCATTATTTGAAAATGAAACAAAACATTGTTGACTTATTAACTTTATTGATCATATAAAGATCCTTCAACATATAAAAGAAGTATCTCAAAATTCAGGAGAGCAAATCACCTTAAACAAAACCCCCAGAATTAAAGAATCTATCTTCATTGTACTCTCGATTCGACTTAGAAGCCCTTAAAAACAAAACTGACATTTTCTTTATTTTCATAATGATAATAATAATAATAATAATAATAATAATAATAATAATAATAATTAAATAAATAAAATTCTGTTAAAAATACTGATCCATATCCTGCTGAAGTAGATTGACTGCTAATTTTGTTTTTAATAATAATTTGGATGAAAAAAGTTGTAATTGACTTAACAGATTGAGTATTTTGTAATTTCCTTTACAAAAAATTGATCTAAGGGCCTGTTTACATGGAGTGGGGGACCCCGGTCTAGTGGGGTTGATTTCTTTTGTTTTCACGCTCTGGGGGACACAAAACAAAGGAAACCTACCCCACTAGACCGGGGTCCCCCACTCCATGCATGCAAACAGGGTCTAAATTAGATTTTTGCAGTTCCTTTAACGGTATGGTATTACCATGAGAAATGAGAATACCACCTGAATTAAGTCCTAGTAGCTGTTTACTGAAAAAGCAAAAGCGAAAAATACCAGCTTAGGCATAAAAATAACAACATTTAATGAATAAAAGATAAAGAAGGCCTTCGCGCGCAACTTTGATTCGCTTCAGTGGGACACAAGGCTGCAGAGATAAGGTGCCGATCCATACAGAGAAATTGCAGCCAATCGCTCAGATTTTTTGTGAACCCATGATGACAACCCGCAGTTACCGATTGGGCAATGTAGCCATCAAGCATGAGGAAACTCGTGAAGGGCAAGGCCTTTTACAGTGCTCATATGTGACTTCCTGCTAGTAATGTCGAGTGCATGGTGTATGGCGATTATCAAAGAAAGGCTAGTGAAACGCGAACTGAAAAGAGTCCGACTTTGATAATCCTGTATCTCTGTACGAATTGTGACTGTAACCTGAATTCTGTCTATATAATTTGCAAATGAAAACAAACTGTAACATGTAAATTAGTTACCTTTGCGTTTGGTACAATTTCATTTCTTAGACTTAAAACATTGAGAATGTAAACAATTCAGACAAATTAGCAGGGTGTGTAACACTTGATGTGTCATAAATTGGAGAATCGGGGCGATAATTTGTATCCGGAAATGCTTTCACAAAATTTACCAGTAAGAAGAAATGGAATTAATAGCAGAAATGTTTCAAATGTCCAAAAGACTGTTTTTAAAAGTAAGTCTGAAATTTTTTGTGGCTTATCTCGTCTTATCTAAGTAAGACGTCAAATTAGCCCCCAAGTCAGGCTAAATACCAGAAATGAGACGTGGTCTTGTCAGAAAAGGATGCTTATACGCGCTTAAGACTGACTGAGTTACATGTTAGATAGAGAGTTTCTCAGCGATGCAGCTTGTCTGCGAATTTAATTTACTAAAGGGAGTGCGGCTTATTCCTGTTTTGGATGTGACAGGAAGACTGTCTCACATTTGTACCTTGTACATTGATCCTTCCTCACATGATCATGGCGCCTAAATCAAAACTATGTGACTATCCTCATCCTCCGGACCTTTCGTCGCGGTTGATGTAATCAGCGGTTAACACTGAAGCGAAGGGAAATGTCCTGGGAACGAGTTTGGCAAGGAGAGTAGCAGGGCTTCTTCCGCAAGAAAAGTTGTCTTGCGAGGATTAATTAATAAAGTTACGCCAGCTGAAAGCTTCTCAGCATGGTGTTTTAGAGGATTCGACTCTAGAGGAGAGGATTCAACTGGACTCTCGCCAACGTTTGAATGACGAATGCTTTACTATAAGTGGCTCATATCGATGTTTTTCTTTTTCCGGCATTCGCTAAACACATGCATCTCTTGACCGAAGACCTTTAAAAAAAGGAATCATGGTCAAAAATGTTTGAACACCAACCCCCCCCCCATTGGCTCATCACTCATTTGTGCAAGATAGACTTGATCGGAAAAACGTGCTTCTTCATAAAATTGAATTTTTTCCAGATTTTTAAAGAATTGGTCTAATATCTCTGGCAGAAACCGACCAAAATGAGAAGCACTATTTATGGTTACGACTGGTGTTGGTTTGAAAGTTTCCGGTTCAATTCGTGCAACTTGAACGTTTTGCTAAACAAAGCTTACAGTGCCTTTTGCGTGTGTAAACAACTTCAAAAATTTTAGTTCAAGCTGATCCCCATCTCGATGTTGTCATTTTTTTGAGACTGGCCACTCGAGCACGAGGGTCCAGAACTGCTCGGGGTCGTACGTGATCGGAAATTTATGTCTGTTTATAAAATGCCTCCATTGAGGCATATTACTTTATAGTTAGCTGTCAACATAACTTCTAGAATACACTCTGATATAATAAACAGTTATCTTTATAATAGCAGGTACCAACTCTTTTGCAGGTACATACTTTACATTTTTTAGCGTCTCAATTTGGATAACGTGCTTAATTTGTCATAAAATATAAAAACAGAGCTTGCTTTTTTTATATCCCTCTCTGTCACTTGTTTCACATGCAAGAGGGTCCCCAAAAGAGGTCTTCATTCTTGTCATTCTGACCCAAATTTCCTCTCAATTCCGTAATCGCGATGATTACTTTTTGCCGTGATCCCGCATCCCGTGCCGATACTTTCGAATCTCGCCTCCCACCCCCTCTCCCTTTGCCTTGCCTTCAGCGGGAAAACCTCTTGGGACCCTAATACAAGTCGCTTGGTATCTTGCTAAGGCACTTTAATCATTTCGTGTATTATAATCGACAGTTTCCATCTTCTCATACTTGATTCGAATACACAAAATTCATACGTTGGGTGATAATGTCATTTGACATGATTTGACATCAAACTGCTGGGCAGGAGCCCAAATCCATCTTCCGAGGGAACATTCAAGGGTAATGAAGAGGAGATTTTTGCATAGTACGGGCGGAATCATAGGCCTGACGAAAACCCCACAAATTAAGCTCCCATTTGTGAGACGGTCTTGTGCGTTGGTCTATAATCAAGTGCAATTAAGATTATCATATTTAGTTAATTTTAATTTGAAAATTGTAAAATCGACGCCGAACTTTTTAAGATCTTTTAACAGTATTTAGTCTTGTACCCTGAATGAAGAAGGCAACATTACCGGAACGTCGGTTGAGACTCTTTCGAACATCGTCGATTTTACAATTTTCAAATTAACATTATCTATTAATCAATCTTTCCGACATTAACAAATAATTTTACCTCACCTGTCACAGTATTTACAGCCAAAAGTGTTAATTATGGACAATGCAAATGTAAATAAAATCAAAATAGGTGTCATTAATATATGAAGCAGGCGAAAAGACAAACAAAGCAAAAAGCTGAAAAAGAAATTTGGCCTTTATTTTTCTTTATAATTGTTGACTGGAGGCAGTCAGTGGACAATCGCTTAACATAACCAGTTGTTGGCTTATAAAGTAAATAATCGTGCAGGACCTGATTTGGTTTCAAAGGGACCGTAACAGACACACAGCCAGAGGTTTAGATATATCGGAGGAATTTGTAACATTTAATCGTGTGACTAAATCTTCCCGGTGGTGCGTATGGACTAATTATCCCGTCACAAATGGCCTAATTATTTACCGGGGAGTCATCACGAACAGCCAACAGAAAATGAAAACAAAAAACAACGCAATCCTGAGAGACAGAAGCCGAGAAGAAGAGGAATTTAACAGGGGTCATTTAGTTTATCGGATCTGATACAAGTAATTTAGTAAATTAAATGTGTAAATGATCGTGATTCCCAAATGATATCGTGATATTATTGTGTTTTGACCCACAGCAATGCCGCCAAGCAGTCATGCAATGATGTTATTCCAATCCAGCCGGGATGATTCCGTGCACATCTGCAGCAAATAGTTCCTGTGGTGTTTTTAGATTAGCAGCCTTTCTCCAAAAAATGTTTTAGAGATTTGTACACTTTTTATTTGCTATGAAAAGGCCCTAAAAGGATAGGATGTCCAGAGGTCTTGTCAAGTAATTCTCGGTATGAAGTGAATCTTGCACGCCTGTTGAAAGGTCACGCCTTCTGGTGACGTGCCGCTTCTATAAAATGTCCAGTCACCATGAGACGAGTCAGTCAGATCGAGACGGAGAGGAGCAGAGAGAAACACGAAACAAGCAACTGCATCTCAAGTCATAGCCAAACGTCACACAAATCATCGAACATGGTCTCGAGAGGGTTAACAAAGATGCGTTTCATCGTTTTAGCCATGCAAGCGCTATTGAGTCGGAATTTAGTTCTGTCATCCAGCATCTATGTAGGAAGACATGCAGCAGGGAAAATCTCTGAGCACGGGCCTTCAGCAGTGTCGGAAGGTAAGACGCATAGTTTGTACATGCATAGTTTGTCCGCAAATTTAAAGGATTACCGGTTTAGGGATTAGAAGGGCATTGTTGTGTTAACCTTGCGTGATCAAGCAGGAGCTCAGCTGTTAGCCGTTTTGTCCACGCCTCGAACGTTTAGTAAAGAATGTAACAGCTTCTATTTCCTGAATTAATGAAGCAAATCGATTCCAACTTCTTACGATTGCTTTCAGCCTTTAGTTCCATTTACGATGTCTCTAGAAATGCCTTTTCCATTCCTTGGCTTAAACGCATCGATCAAAATGCCAATACTGCCCCGAGGCAGACAAAGTATCTTAGGGACCCCCTCATTTGGTTACTTAATACCAATTCCAAGATTTTATTAAAAACAACAAGCCAAGCTTTTTCCTTTCCGCGGTTTTATTCAGTTTTCTTTTAAATACGTATTAGCTCGTATTAATGTCCAAACCATAAAAGGTATCAGTTATATCCTTCTTTATATTTGTGAACATTAAACAAGCTGAGTAAGAAAATATCGGTGTTTAAGACACCAACTTTTTCAAGTGGTCTTCACAGATAAGCTGTTTACATTCGGCCTTATATAGGGAAGAAATAAGACCGTAGTTTCTCGAACGTAATTACGATCATTTTTCATAGTCTTAACCTTAATTCGCTCTATTTTAGTGTTGAAATTACCCCCACAAAGGCGCTAGAGCGCATTCATTATAAACATCTGAATCTCGTACCTTTTCGTCGTCTGGCAGTGTCTGGTACATATTGGCATCTTAAAGTTGTTTTCATTCCATCATTGTTAAAAACTCTCTAATAGCAGTTATTGATAGTCTTATCTGTCTGCTATGCACGGCTATTTAACCGATCATTACGGTTCGGCCCTGCTTTCACTTGAACATGGGCTTTAGAAACATGGATATATGGCTTTAAACTTATCGTTGCTTATGTCTTTTGTTTCTTCCGTTTATTCTACAGAGAAAAAAAAAAAGAAAAAAAACGTGACAAATACCTCTTAAAATACTTTGCCTGATGTCCTAACTAATATGCATTGAAGATCAAGCTCCGGAAGTTGGCTAGGATGAAACATGTCTAAATTTAATGTTGCTTGGTTTTCAACTTTCCTTAGCTGTGAGTTATTGTGGCTTTGCTTTGAGGTGACTTTTTAGGAAATGCTCTTCGTGCATTTGGTTGAAGTTTTACGTGCGGAAGGTTCGGTTATCTTGACTGACTTAACTCAACCCTGACCCTCAAATTTCTAGTTGTACCAGCATACCTCAACGATGTTCTTCATACATTTCCTAAGGTGCTGATGACGAGAGAGTTGATAAACCATCAAGATCATTTCCTTTTCCAGACGGCCTTAATGTTACTAAAAGGAGAAAATGGATTTTGGTTAAAGGATAAGAGTAGTGATTGCCACATTCACTGACCCCCACCTCAGTTTTAAAATTTTTATTTATCGCCTCTAATGTTAGCACTATACTGTGATAGAATTTGCATGGCTTTTTTTGTTTTTGTGCTTAGTTGATGACCGGATTTTTGCCCAAAGATTTGAAAAGCTCCGCTAGTGATCTTAGACATGGATTTCGGCGGGAGGGGCGGCACCCACCTATCCGAATTTATTGGAGTACCCCCCCCGGGGGGCGTGGCTGCAATGAAGAGATCAGGTGTCATATTTCTATTAGACGTGCAACTTAGAAACTTGTCCTTAGAATTCGACCCGACCCCTCACCAGAAGGAGACCACACTTCAAGTAGTATTATGCCGACATTTCTTTCCGCATAATTCCTAACTGATACCTTTATTGGTAAAAACATTGGCTTCAGTCCTGAACCCCGGAGGGAGGACCCTTGTGATGGCCTATACGGGAAGGCTCCGCTTGAAAGGGGGTACATTTTTTAGTCTTTAGGTATATTGAGGAGTATAGAATTCACGAGTTGGGTAGGAAAATCTTTCATTAAAGTATTTAGTCCTTAATCAAAATTCCTCGAAAAAACGCTCCTTACGGTTATATCATTTAAATTTATTAAACGTTACACGAAAGTGATAAGGAGACTTCGTGTTCAGTTGGCGATTTATTCTTATCATTAGCTATGTAAAAGGGGTACCATTTATAGACTGTAGACGAAAGGGGCACCTTTTCAGTTAAAATGGTATATAAAAGGGTAAGGCTAGGGGTTGGACTTCGGTGGGGAGCCTCCTTAATAAACCTTTGTTATTGAGCCTCAGGTCCTGAACATCCTGACTGAGATAGTGTACATCCCTAAGCGATATCATTAGCATCCCCGACATTTTCGTATCAGCGTCACGAGCAATGGACACTCAGTTCGCCTACTAACCGTTAGCCACTCTTCCTTGTAGTTCACACGTGTGAGGACAGACGACTTTGTCGAAGGATCATGAACTTCTATGGCGTGGAAGCCTGCAACTCAACCGATAGAAACATACAGGAGACTGTTCAGTTTGCCTGTCCAGCCACATGTGGATTCTGCACACCTGGCGAAAGTGGTAACTTGATCATTTGCTTATTACTCTCTTCTAGGTAATCAACATCAATCAAGCAATTCAAGTGCCGTATGTATTCGATTAAGCACCCAACCTCGAAAAAGCGCCCTGCCTCGAATAAGCTGATCTACCCGCCTTCGTCGTTGCGGTTTTCCTTACGGTCGCTCTGAGAATTTAGGGCCTCCTTTTTCACTTTACTCATGCCCACTAATGCTTGGTTCACTAAACAGACTTAACAACGTGCAATAGCTTCCAGATCCAGACTAAATTATCTTTTTTGTAACAGTAATAGTGGCCTTAGCTCTCACAAGTCTCCTTTAGCTCAGTGGTAGAGCATCTGAATTAGTCACTAGGAAGTCATTGGTTCGACTCATATTGGGAGTACTCGGATTTCCAATCTTCCACGCCGCTTGTGTGACTGATCATGACTCAATAACAATTTTCTCAGAAATACTGTTATAAGATCAATCTGTTCCTACAAAAAAACGGGTCTTCTAATTCTCTTCATACGTTAGGCGGGTAGATGGTGCGTAACTATCTTGAGAAGCAAATGAAAGGACTCAAAAGGTGTTTAAAAGAATTAAAGTTTCGCAGGTTTAACCTATGAACCCCTTTTGGCGTTATTAAAAAGTCGAGTCTTTACCATCTCAGATGATATACATTTTCAGATTTTGCCTGATTTTCATTATTTTCTTCTTTTTCCTTCTTTAGATTGCCAAGATCAGGTGGAAGATCTTTGCACAGAAAACAAAGATTGGTGTAACGCTGGTGGAGAAATCGAAAAACTTATGAAAGACATCTGCCCTAGAACTTGTAAGGCGTGTAATCGCAGACCGAGCAGTGAACAACACAATTTTGTCATAATTGATGGCTAGGCCGGCAGCAGTAAAAATCCCCTCGGCTATTCAGTGTCAAGGTAATTATATCCTTATTTCTTAACCCATCTTAAATGGTTTTTATCAACTTATACAAAACGGATTAATCCGAGGCTACTCCCATCCCCCGACCGAATTACATATAATAATTGCATACAGTATGCCGGATCGTGAAGTGCTTGAAGACTGCCTGTAAAGTAGAACTTGCAGCAAGTGAATAAAGCAGCAGGCACCACGGGACTTTTGAGCCCTGGTTCAAAAACACGACGATAACTTGCTTGCCTTTGAAGCTCCTCCAATCTACTTAAAAGGGGTTCCCTTGACGAATCTATGATGCATTTCTAGATAGGCAATCCTCAATTAATGTAATCGTGTTTTATTCTATCTTTTTTTTTAGGTTTTTAGCTGCATAATGTTCTAGAAAACGAGGGTATCAGACTGGAGGAAGTTATCAAAAAGACAGGAATCAACATTTAACAAAAAGGACCTCGTTTTGTGGATTAAGAAGTAACTGACAATTACGTTAAGTTAGCAACAACTTGTTCTAATCGATAACACAAGATGTGACCAGAAAATGGATTGCGATTGCGCATCTTTCATCTGATGCGTCGTGAAAAAAAAACCTTAACAGTTCATAAGTCCACTATTTGTATATTTTGTTCTTGGACAAAAGACCAATAATTTAAACTTAGCTCTATCAGGCTTAGGGGAATAAGGCAAAAGAAAACAATTAATTTTTATTCATCCCTGAAACTCATTGCTCAATTTCTTTGAATTAAACCCCAAGCCTCGAAGCCAAGTATAACTTTTACTATATTGAAATTGGTCTATTACCGATAATACAGTGTAAATAAATAAATATTAAAAAATATCTGGTTTATTTGTGACTTTAAAAGTTTTTTAGGTATGTTACTTTTGTCTGAGCATATCATTCACAAGCGTTGATCAACAAATCACTATATCTACGCGCAGTTTACGAGCGTCAGCAGAGAGGAAGTCTACTGAACAGATTCTTCTCGTGACAGGGACGGGTATCAAGGCCTGGAATCACTGCATGTGTTACCCATAAATTTTTCAGTTTTCCCTTACTTGCCTCGCCGCCAGCCGCTCGCGTTTACTGGGGGATATTTGAGTTAATTATTAAGGAGAGCAGGGACGAAGGGAGTGATGGAAGGGGAGGAAAAGCGTCACTTCCCTCTCGCGCTTTACACTCGTTCCCATCATCCCTCTCTGGCACTTCTCGCTTATCTCGCTCGGCTTAGACTGCAAAACAGTCGGGTTTTTTTTTCTCAAAATCAGTAGAGCAATTGGTAAAGCGTGGCGTAAGAGTCTTACGCGAGCGAAGCGGGCGAGTCTCACCCTCCCGTCTATCTCGCTCTCTCTCCGCAGAGGCCTCTAGGGAGCCTGGAGAGAGAAATTAAATAAAGCGCGCCGGGGAAAATGGTAAGCCACGTGCTTTAGGCTCCAAAGTGGGGGAAAAACGTAGCCTGTGTCAGCTGATGAGGGCGTGGCAGTGGTAGGTTGACACAGGCTAGTCGAGAGACGGCAGGATCCGTTGCGTTTTTGCAGGCTGCTTAACCTCCACCTCCCTTTGGCTCTTCACGTAATCCTCGCCGGAACAGGAGACAAGCCCCTTAGAGACCTTAGAACGTTTGCGTGGAGGGCTACAAGCTACTAGACTAGAAACTAATAGACCGCAAAAAAACTGGTCTCTTTCTCTTGAAAATTAAAAGCTACTCTAAGGTGCAAAATAAAAAGTAAATAAGTAAGGCTTACAGCTTGGAGGATGTTATTGTGCCAGAATTTGTTGTAATCAATATTACGGCTTCTTTACTTCTTAAAACTAACGAAATAATGCTACCACGTTTCGGCGACAAGGTGCCTTTATCAAGGATGGAAATAAATGCGAGTTCAAAAGGAGTTAAAGTAACCTAAATATGCATGAAAAAAAAAAAAAAGTTGGCAAAAACTTAAGCACGGTTTGCACGTTCAGAAGGCCGAAACGTCGGAACATTGTTTCGTTAACTTTTACACGTTTCTGTTTCCCTAAATCTTAATTTTTTTTGTTTACAAAACTTTCCCTGATTGGGATACACCAGGATCCGCAACCTTTTTCTTGCAAAGAACTAAAACAAAAACCTTTCAAAGTCAAATCACCCCAAAGCATTTTGATCCTCCTTGCAAAAAAACATTTTATTTTGCAATAAACAAACATTACTTACAGTCACAATAAATATCTAGTAATAACTGACAGCATAATGCAAATTCATAATTATTGATGCAGCCTTCTCATCGTTAGAAAAGTCTCATTTTCTGCCTGGCTGATGTAACACTTGGCGAAAGGACTACATTTCTATCTTTCTCTTCGATCGTCCTTGAATGCACTTGGTGGCTTTTACTTCTGGAGCGCCGGTCGCCCGCACAGTCTTGTTTGTTAGTTTGAACAGTCATGGATACGTTAAATCAAAATCTGTTCCTTTTAGAACCGTCCTAGGAAGAAGAGAAATAAAAATGTCAGTTAAAAAAGCACAATGAGCGATCGGCTCTGATGAACCTGACGAGCTCAGTTGACAATCAGAAACATTTTTGGCTGACCCATCCACCCTCGTGCCCTATTACCCGTCCTGATCGAAAAAATTATAGATTTGAGACCAGTTTACAATGGGAAAAAATAATTGCGAAGCTTGTTAATTTGCATCCAGGCATGTTCAAAATCTTTTAATAATCAAACTTTATTTCTCGGCTCATGTACGCTTTAAAAGATTACAGTGAACGAAAACTCTATGAAACAGACTCAAGCCTTGGTTTTTCTTTGCTATTCGGCCTTCATGAGAGGTGTTTATGACTGTTTTGTAAGCAAAGGGATAAGATGTACTTACTATTAAGGAAGAATGTCGCAACATCCAACTTGGTTTCACCCTCTCTACACCGCCCGCACTTCACTGGGCAGCTGTATCGGTATTTCTCTACTACACTTGCTTTGACATATTTGTATGCTTCTTGTTCACAGTAGTCTTCAAACAAATTACACATTCTTCCATACAGATTTCGACAAACTGCAAAAGAAATAGGACGGAATCAGTAAAATATGCTTTTCAGTTAACAAAACGTATATTGAATTAAACGTTGAAAAATCTGAAATTCTTGACGCTAACATCCACCGACCTTGGTTACTTTCCAGCTAAAATTTATCTTGGTTGAAATATTTTGATGGCCCAGATTTTTGGTCACTGGTGTGATTGTGGCAAAAACGTGTTTGCTCGGCCATTGACCGCCGAATGACCTGAAGTTTAGTGATTAAATTAGGGCTAGGAGCAAAGTGAGTGAGTTAAGTTCCATTTATTGTCATTATACAAGCTGGCGAACTTGACCAAAACTGGATTCCTTCTGCTTCTTAATGAATGATCAAACTGGAGAGTCATTCGGCGTTCGATTGTCGCTCTGCGTTCTACCAAAAATTGACTGTTCTGACCCCTGCTACATTTTGTTTTATGTTTATACTTTTTAGTTCTTAAACTCTTAAGGGCAACAAATACCATCCTTGTTAGGAGTGCCACATATAAGAATGATTTTTGACCATTTTTCTATTCACCTGTGCATCCGGCTCCATCTGGTCCCGTGGCAGCTGTAAGGTCCCAACAACACCCGTATGGTGAGTCAAGGCAGTCTGGCCGGGCTTGTGCCGAGGCCTTTATTTCTGCATAGATTAAGAAGTTAACATGTCAGCAGTGCTCTTGTATAAGTGATTGTAAACACAAAGCAATCAAAACCAGGCATGTCCGCTGGTAAATGTAAGTGTTTTGTACTTCAGGTCCTCTCTTGACTTTAACTGTCATGATATATAAGTAAATCCTCTGATTTACGCTAGTCTATGAAGGGGATAAAGCTAACACTGATTTGAGTATCATTTATCAAAAATCCAATTAAAAAAAAAAATCAAAAGGATTCTGCTCAGAACCATTTGATCAGAAATAGGGTAAGGTTTTGAAGAACCGGGGGAAAAAAGAATTCCTGCGAGTATTCCCCCCCGGGAAAGGAGACTTTTTCCGGTTCTCATCTTTTTGCATTTCTCCGGAGAGAGCGATTGAAAGAAACTATCCAACTTTTTTAATGGTTTAATAGTACTCTGACTTACTGCAAACTTCACAACTTCTCGGGCACATTTGTCTTCCACGTTCGTTGCAGGCTTTTTCTTTGGAAAATCTTGAAATACGAAGTTTGCAATAGCTTGGGTAGTTATCTTTACATTCTGTTAAAAATACACCAAACATCATATTTCAATTCAGATTCAATAACCGATCGATCTAACATAATAAAGAAACCCCAGTATTAGATTTCTATCTTATCATCCGCGCTAAAAATCTTCGACATTTGCAGTGTCTTGTTGTTGTTGTTGTTGTTTCACAGGTTCCTCTATTTTGGTAACAGACGTTTACCCTTACTGGTGTCGAAAAACTGTATCACGTTTAGCACACTTTCTGATAAAGCATTACATGTGCTCCAACCATATTTTACAAGACTAAAACTAATCCCAACAAATCTGAACTTTTTTGCCTAATTATTAAAAGAACCTTCCAAGTGCAACAGGTCAAATATAGTGCTTTTTTCAGAGTTTTACTGTGTACGACTTTTCTTAATTGCTGCTTACCTACTATTTAATAGTTAACTTTTAATTAATTAAGTAACGGTTACGCCGACCCCACTGGGTCTCCGAGGATGCTATGTAACTAGTGTGTACTAGTTTCTGTAGATAATGGTATATTAAGCGTTTTTCCTTACCGGGACAGCCTTCACCGTTAAATGATTGCGCTTCTGTTTTGTTGTCCCAGCAACAGCCGTATTTGCTGGCTGCTGTAGCACATCTCGGTTTAGGTTCTGTATAAAACACGTAAAAGCGTAGCCATGAGCAAAGTGATAACTACATTAGCCACAAATGAGCATCTTACTACCTCCACACTTGTTGAATAGTTTTCGTTACGTGGGTCTTCAGAATCTCTATGGAGAATGGGTACAAGCTTTGGGTGCAGCGCTGTTTGGGATCGTTCGGGTGGACAAGCGTTAGTTTTTATGATTGGTCGATGGTATTCAATTGAAAGCAACCATTAACTACAAATAAATAACATGGTTTGTTCGGACCCAAAGCTAAAGGATCCCAGAGATGGTTGCGCCTCACTCCCCATTTCTTCTACATGGAGTGGGGAATTTATCCCAACAGTACGGGAAGTCTTGGCTTATAGAGCGTGCTTTATGGAAATATATATACCCTGCAATGATCATTCCATATCTTCCTACATACATCTTCGGTTTGATCTCTCTCTCTTCTCATGTCGTCTTTTTTTTTCTAGTTTTCAGGTAGAAAGTACACGCCCGATTGCCGGCAAGGGAATTTTATAAAATCAAGACGTATCTTACGCAAGACCAATTGATAGCACGGTCAATTCTCGAAATATTTTACTTAGGCCACTGGGGGCAGGGGTAATAAAGGGCCAAGAGCCACACCTGTAACGGAAAAGAACTTTTCAAAATACCCCGATAATCATTTCCGTTTTCTTTTTTTTTTATTATTAAAACCTGCTATTTTTAAGGCAAGGTTAATTACTTAATTTTCTTGACCTGAACCGTTTAGACTGGCTTAAGTTTAAGAGGCTTATCAGTGAGCCCAGCTATTATTCAAGACAATTTCGACGATTGTCCTAATTACTTTTATTACTTTTTTTTTGATATCTTACCACAAACTTTGCAAGTCAATGCGCAGTTAGTTGTCATATGTTTCCACGTGCAGACATCAATGCTCCTGGCGCGATACAATCTCACAAAATACTGACATGTTCTTGTTGCCATACGGTCCTCGCACACTGTG